CAGCGCCGCCGGGCGACGGCGAAGGTGAAGCTCACGACGTCGCCTTTGTAGAGCAGCGGGAGGGCGTGGGGCGCGCCGCGCGCGTGGAGGAGGCCGTCGCCGTGGTAGAAAATCCCCTCCACGTCCTGCGAGAGGTTCGGCTGCGAAAAGTCAAGCCCCGCCGTCGCTAACCCCACGTAAAACTTCGAAAGCCCCTTGTTGTTGAGGATCTCGACGTGGTAGCTGGCAGGGCCGCAGCGGTGCAGGCGATCCACGGAGAAAACCGGCTCCTCGGAGTGCGCGATGAAGTACGGCCGGTGCGCGATGAAAGTCCTCGGCGATTCCTGCGAGGCCCCGATCATGTGAAACTCCTCCTCGCCAAGGAATTGACCGCTGGGATCACTAAAGTACTCAAAAAAGAGCTTGGCGAAGCCGGCCTCGTCGCTCTCGTCGATCGGAAAAGACCCTGCTCGCGTGCTATTCGTGAAATCGGGCAGCATCGAAGTCACATCCGGCAGGATCTTCTGGAGAAACCTCATATCCGACGCGTCAAGCGGGATCGCAAGCAACGAAAGCGCCATCACGGCGAATGCGCCGTAATCCCAGTCCTCTAGAAGAAAACGCTGGGGATCAGATTGAATCGAATCCTGCTGTGCCTTCAGCCCATGGAGAATCGTATAGAGCCTTAGGATGATATTTTGCACCAGCAAACGAATCCGCGCCTCAGAGGCCTCTCGGCAGCCAGTAAAGGCAACTAAATAATGTTCCCGAGACACCGACACCAAGGCCTGAGCGGCCTCCCCCTGATGCGTGAGAAACCTCCTCATCAAGGCGGCTACAAATGCAAGATTCTCCGCAAAAACGCACCCACAACAGGACATAAGCATCTGCAAAAACACCTCCGCGAGGTCCGCGAGCTCTTGGCAATGCCGAAGATGCGCCTCCAGCTCCGTCGGCTGGAGGTCGCCGCCGAAAAAAAGCGCGAGAATCGCCTCCACGACCTGCGGGACGGGTGCCGCGGGAAAGGCCCGGATACGATTTAATAAAAACTCCGACAGCTTCATGGCGTGCACGTTGTGGTGGACAATCGCGGCGCTCGCGACGCTCACACGGCGAACTACATCGAGCCAAACGTGCGAGCGCCAATGCAACTCCACGGCTCCCCCTCCGTTATTCCCCCCGGCCTCGCCCGAGTGGGGGATATTTAAGGTTAAATAATGCGCGCAGGCCGTCAGCGCCGCGCGCACGCCGACAAGGCCGCTCATCGGGCAAAGCACGCGCTTGCGAAGCTCCTCGTCGGAAAGCTCCGAGGCGATATACCGAACAAAAGGATGAGAGTAATGCGGCGAGCTTGCCATTGAACCTGCTTCATTCCCCTCTTCCTTTGGGTCCCCTGCCGCGGAAGGGGTTAACCCGCCCCGGAAGAGAAGATGAAACGCCTCGGGATGCCCCATTCCTTTCCCGCAGATCGTCGAGGTCGTCCCTGGGGTTCGCCGAGATGGGGAAAGCCGAGGGCAGCTGCGTTGACGATCCGAAAGGTCGTCCAAGATCCGCTTGGCCAGGCTCCGCTGGGCGTCGAGCAAGGTGTGGAGCCACTCCACCTCCCACCGCGTGTCGAGCCTCCACAAGAACATCATTTTCATCCCCACCCGCAGCCTTGTCGGTTCGCTAACGTGTGGGCAGACAAAGTGCACCTCGCAGGGCCCTTCATCCCAGGAAAAGACGTCATTGACGGCGAGGGGGTGGCAGGCGCCGACGACGTCGCCCTCGGCCCGCTCGGGGTGCAAAGGAAAGAGCAGCAGGCGCGCGCCTTTGCAGTGGGAGGCCCGGTGAACCCGCAGGACGACCCGCCGCGCGTGGGGGATCGAAATCGCCGAAAAGGCCGACGCGCTGGATTGCGCAAAGGAGGAAAGGCTCGGTAGGAGCGGCTCCACGCCGGCGAACCCCTCGCGGCATCGGGCTTTACCGCCAAACGTCCCCCCCCGCCGCCCCTGGGCGTTCGCGACGAACGACGCGCTCGGGGGCGATTCCCTCCCCGGCGGGGAAGGGCTGCGAAGTGGGCGAAGCCGCGCCTCGGCCTCCGCCGCGTCGTCGGCGTCGGCGTCGTCGCCCAAGTCCTCCATGGCGAGGTCGCGCGGCAAGGGCGCGATCGCGGGGGCGGGGGCCTCCTCCTCCCCGCCCTCCAAAACATCGAAAAAGAGATTGTGGAGGAGGGGGCTGAGGGTCGGGGGGTCGCGCGGGCCCTCCTCGCCGGGCGGGGTGGAATCCGCCCTCGGCGGGGGGTCCCCCTCGCGGAGCGCGGAAGGGGGGACGGCCGCGCCGCGGAGAAGAAACTCCATGCGGACGGTGAACCCCACCGCCGCGGGCTCGCCGTCCTCGACGGCGGGCGTCGTGGCCGTCGCGAGGACCTCGCCGAGCGCGCGGAGGTCCCCGGACGGCCATTTCACCAGCGACACGAAGTGCAAAACGGGGATCAGCACGTTGAAAACGAGGCGTTGATGGCAAACGTCATCCGCGTTGTAGGAGCGCCCGGCGCCGGGGATCCTCCCTTTGCGCACCTCACTATCCTTCCCGGAGGCCACTTTTGCATCGGCCTCGTCTTTTCCTGCAGCCGGTGCCGGGGTACACCGTGTATGGATCGCTTTTTCGGCCCGAATCAACTGACTGAGAAGATGGACATAAAAGGCCCCCGCTAGTGGCATCTGGGGTGCCGCTAAGGCTAAGGCGGCGGCGGTTAACACGACCCTCTGCTCCAGTCGCTTATAAGGACTTGAGCCGCCGACGTCGCCATACATCGCCGAGCGCGCGGCATCCCCTACCCTATTCGGGATCGCCGTGAGCGGGGTAATCATCTCCTCCATGAGGGAAACTACCACGTCCATATCCACATCTTCGGCGTATAAAAGCAATATAATGGCATCCGGCTTCACCACATCCTCTAGGACGTCGTTGGGGTCGTTTTCGTAGTCCGCCACGGGGCTTTGGAGGTCGGAGCCGCTAAGGTTGGAATCGTAGCCTTGGTGGGCTCCACTGTTGGAGCTTTGGCTGCTAATTGAAGAAGCCACCGGGGCGGAATCCGGCGTGTTCGCGCGCTGCGAGGAGGTGGCCAGCGTCTGAATCTTCACCGACGTCTTTGGCTTGCAGTAGAACGCCGTATGGTCGGAAAGGGTATTCGCGCTGGGTTGGATATACAAGGCCTCGCAAGAGCCGATGGAGGTCCGATCCCTCGCCTTCCACGGGGTCAGCCCCAGCTTTTCCTCCCGCGCCCTCTCCAGCAAATCGGCACAAAGCGCCGAACGAAGGCGAAAGCAGGCCGTCTGAGGCGCCTCGGCAAAGTGGGGCGCCTCCTCCAGCTGTCGTGCGATGGCCTGTGCCGAGGCCTCGAGGCTCGCGTGGAAGGCGTGGGGATTGGGCTCCGCGGTGGGGCCGATTGGCATTGGCGGGGTGAATAATAAATCGCCCGCGAGGTGGGACTGCCCCTGCGCGGGTAGACGCGCCCAGGCCGCACGGCAAAGCGCCTCGGGGGAGAGATCCATCACCCCCTCAAGGCTGCATGGGAAAGGATCGACCACCGAGTACCGTGTTTGCATCCTCCCACACGCACGCACACACACACAACTCAACGCGCGAGCCGGTCCCTTTCGACGTCTCGTTTAGCGGTCTGTGCGGTGGTGGGGTGTATTCTTTTTATTTTTCCTTCTTCCCTTTCTTTGATGAGTAAAGAATTTAATGTGGTGTGCGGTGGTGAGATTACACCCGGTTCTATATTAACACTCACACACACACACACGGAAAGGCGTACCTTTAGTAGGAAAGAAAAGTTATCTCAGCACCTTTTCTTTCTATTCTTCCACACTATGTCAAACCGGTCCACAGCAAAAATTCTGAATTAGCCTTACGCCAGACCAAGCGTGTAATATAAATAAAATGCTTCGCTTTTGTAAATTATTCCTTTTTGGTGTCTGTTGCAAGGTTATTGTTTTTTTTTTTGCTAGTAATGAGGTAAAATAATAATAAAAGGATATTTGTTATTTTCGTTTTATATACAAAAAGTAAAAAAACGTAAAAAGAACCTCACAAGTTTGATAACAATTCTCTTTATAGAGACTAGACCGATAAACTAATTATCTTTGTAAAACGACCCAATAGCTGCAGAATAGTTCTTTCCACCTTTGAAAACAAAAATGGCAAACAACAAATAAGGAAGGAGAGGAGGGGGGGAATGAATATACAGCAGGAAAAAGGTAAGATCAACAGAGGAAAACTCCATATTTGCTCTTCCCTATATATCCTTTTTTTTTTACATAAGAGAAGGCCAAAAAGTACTCAACTACTGGTTTGCTTTTGAGATCCAACGATGGAATGTTTTAATTGAGCAACAACTTCTCCATTTTTAAATTTATCTTTTTTTTTTAGTAGAGAGAGAGAAAGAGAGAGAAAAAGGCAATTTACAAAAGCAGTGTTCGTAATTACTGCGTACCAGCATCCTTAAATAAAGTGCTTTGATAAATCCAAACTCGTGGCTGGATGCCGAAGAATATGTATTGTTGCATACACACATGGGTATGTATCTATTAAACAACATAGAAAAAGCATAAGTGCCGATGCATCTATGAGCTTCTTTCATGAATGCGCACTATTTCGAAAAAAAAAAACGAGAAGAATGACATCGGGTTTGAACACGCATTCCTGCATCATCCTACAGACTCAAATAGATGCGTAAGAGAACCCCAATGAAACGCTGCACCCACACCTCTCCCCTCAAAAAAAGGGGAAGACACTCCGAATAAACCCGTAAATCTATATTTATGGTGAACCCTGTTCACATATGGAGAGACCTCTGTACGAACCCTGCCCCCGGCTCTTCCCCTGAGGTTCCGCCTTGTCGCGTGGATGTGAGAAAAATAATAATAAAAAAAGCCGCGGCTCGCCTCTCTCAATGCAGCTCCTCGCCGAGGATGGACAACTCCCGCAGCATCTCCTCGCCGGAGATGATCGCCGTACAGCCGTAGCTGACCGCCTTGCCGGGCCGCGCGGCTTCCCAGTGCTTGAGGTCATCGTACTCGACGATGCTGCCCCCCCCCAAGACGAAGACGATCGCCTGCGAGAAGCCGACCTCGTGGAGGTTGACGGGGCGCTGCTGGTCGGGGTCGAAGCCCACGACCGTCTCCAGGAGTTTCGCGCGCTCCGCGAGGGAGGCCTCGGCGGCCGCCGCGGGTCCTGCAGGAGCGCCTCGACCAGCCGCGTGAGCGGGAGCTCCGTCCGCACCCCCGCGCCGAGGGTCTGCGCGATGTTCTTCGCGAGCTGCTGGGCGAATCCCCAGCCAAAGGCCCCTCCCTCCTC